GTGACCCATCATACTATCGTGCATTCAAACTCGGCGAGGCTGGCATCTCCTGAGGCATAGGGGAGCCCAAGCGAACCCAAGAGATCCTGTCGGAGCACTCCCAGTCAGAGACTTCGTGTTCGAGAGAGGAGGTGATCGAGATAGCTGTGCGACGGCCACTGCCCTGGAAAAGAACGCAGCCAGGCATCTCGACATCGACTTGCGCCCGCTCAACTTCTTGAAAGAAACCAGTGCATTGAGCCAACTTTAGATCCCCACAAAGTTCGGCGAAAGTATTGGAGGTACCCGTTGACATTCCAGGAAACAACTCTCAACGAACTCCAGGCTGAAGAGCACGTCCTCCTCGAGAGCATAGCGCGGGGAGGTCAGCGGCAGGCTTCGACCATCATCGGCGGCGCGAGCGAGTCTTTTATTTTCTCGAGCGCCTCTGCGTAGACCTGCCGCCCTTTTCGGGAGACCACAGCGCGAATGTCTGGATCTCCCCCATCCCAGCTTGACGACCAGGGGCGTCTTGCCCCACAAGATCTGGAACTGGTCCTTCCTCAGGCCTTGCTCGAGCAGAAAGCGCGTGGCCTTGCCGCCCGCGGTGTAGAACGGCCTGCGGTCTGGCGGTACCTCAACACCTGCGAAGGCGCGCTTGCACATGAGCATGTGCAGGCGACCATCGTCGAACATCTTCACGGGCGAAGTGCGAAGACCCCATGAACCATTATTGCGCTCGCCTCTCGCAGCTTCACACAAAACCAGCAATAGTTTGGCATTCAACTCCTGCCTCTCGGCCTTCTGAGTAGAAAGCCCCCAGTCCACTTTGTCAGATTCTTTCTGGTCCAAACCCTCCTTCAGGTTCAGGAGGCAAGCCTCGGCATCAGAGCCCAGGAGACACGAGCGATCCGTGGGCCCCCCGAAGCCGTCAAACTCGCTGGAGCTTTTGATCTCCACGAAGCTGGCCTTGAAAGGGCCACCCGAACTGAGATTGACATGCGAACCACCAGCACCACCTGCGCTGCCAGGAACCGCCGATGCACTATCTAGCTTGGCGGCCGAGAGACCTTCCCTTGCCGCCTTCAGCGCCTCTGAAGCGCCCTTCCGAGCTGCAGCAGCCTCCGTCTTGGCCTCGGTGGCTACCTGCTTCGCCTCACCAACTTCCTTCTGGACAATCCGTGCACATCGGTGTGCCAGAACAAAGTTTGAATACATCCTGCAGAGGCGGGTTCGCATTCTCCTCCTCTTCCTCCATGTCAGATCCGCCCAGTAAGTCTGCAGCGTTGGGAACTGATGTGGCCCGTTTCGCCATCATGCGAGGGCAGACTGAGACTTGGGAAAGTGTGAGAAGGGTGTCTGAGAGAGAAACTTCGGCCGAACCACAGACCCTCAGCGAGGGCTGCACAAACCACGCGCCTCAAGGACACCCTCGAGCCCAAATGACTTGAGCCGTATGGTGATGGTGTCCCGATGATGGTGATGGTGATGATGATGATGGTGACGATGCTGATGGTGCCCCAATGGTAATGATGTTGTTGATAATGATGTTGCTGATGATGATGATGATGATGGTGAGCCGATGACCATGATGTTGATTATGCTGTGCATGATGGAAATGATGAGATGATGATGGTGGTGTTCCAATGATGAAGATGATGCTGCTGGTGTCCCGATGATGAAGGCGTTGTTGATGCTGATGCTGCCGATGGTGATGATGGTGTCCCGATGGTGATGATGATGTTGATGATCACAATGGTGCTGATGATGATGAAATGATGAGATGATGATGAAAATGATGATGATGGTGTCCAATAGACGGTGCTGATGATGAAGTTGATGATGGTGCTGTTGTTGATGATGATGAGGGTGATGAGGATGGTGCCCCGATGGGGATATTGATGATGATGATGATGATGTTAACGATGATGGGACTCGATGACGTTGATGATGCTGGCGATAATGGGGACGATGGCGAAGTGATGATGACGTTGATGGTGGCCCGATGATGATGATGTTGATGTTGATGATGATGGTGTCCTGATGTTGATGATGGTGGTGATGATGATGGTAACGACAATGATGGTGTCCCGATGATGATGCGGTTATCAATGATGATGTTGATGATGATGGTGGCCCGATGATGATGACGTTGACGATGTTGTTCATGACGATGATGAGATGATGATGATGATGATGGTGGTGTTCCGATGATGATGATGATGATGATGATGATGATGATGGTGTCCCGATGATGATGATGTTGAAGATGATGATGGTCACGATGATGGGGTCCCGATGATGGTGATTATGGTGATACTGATTATGTTGATGATGATGGTGATGATGTGATGCTGATGGTGTCCCGATGATGATGCTGTTGCTGCTGCTGGTGACGATGATGTCGATGATGATGGCGTTGAGTGGGAGATCGATTGTGATATCGGTAGGGAAATCGATAGTGAGACCGAATGTGAGATAGATTGTGAGATCGGTAGTGAGATCGATAGTGAGATCGATTGTGAGGTCGATAGTCATATCGATTGTGAGATCGATTGATTGAAATAGATCGAGTGATATCGATTGTGAGATCGATCGAATGAGAGCGATCGAGCGAGACCGATCGTGAGATCGATAGTAAGATCGATAGTGAGACCGATCGAGTGAGACGTTGGTTCCTCCCCCCCCCCGAACCTCCTTATCACCCGAAGGGTGGTCATATAGGTAACTCCGTAATATGGCGCTGATAATGTTCCCTTCAGGCCTACGACCATCACTTCCCTCTCCCTTTCTAACGGATCCCAGATATCCCGCTCCATCTTCTCCTCATCCACCTCAAACACTCCTCATCATCATACGCCTCTCCGGCTTTTCCTCCTTCAGCCGAGCCCCACCCACACTCTTTCCTTTCCCCCTCCACATGCCTCCTGGCTCATCTCTCCCCCTGCTTGCTTCCCAACCTCAGTCTCCCTCCCCTGGCTTCCTCATCTCTTTGGCACCTCCACCACCCATCCCTTCTCGCTGCTCTCCTCTATCTCCTCTCGGCTGCCGCGTTATCATCGCAAAAACAGTCCCCAGCGTCTAACAACATTCGTGTCCGAAACTGCGAAACGGACATTCAAGACGGACCGTCGGCCAATCGCGCTGGCACTTGTCGGAACCTCCAGCCCAACAAGCTGGAATGGCCGAGTCTTCAGGGGGTTAGTCACCCCTCGTGGAAAACAATAGACGACGTTTCCTGCGCCTCGCCAGCGCATCCAAAATGTGACTCCGCTCGGTCACTCTCAGGTCCCTAGAGGCAGGGGCCCACCGGTGTCTTTCGGAACTCCAGAACCTGGCTCAACTCGCGAGGCACTCCGCAACGGGGCAGGCATATGAGTTAGGATGCGGAGAACGAAAAAAAGATAAACTTATCCGCCATCGGGGACGGCTGCCCCAGGGCAGCTGGAAGTTTGTACACCCACGGTGGCAGGTGGGGGCACAAACTTTCTAGCCGCCCGGGGACATGTGCCCCCAATGGCGGAGCAATAGATTCCCTACCTAGGCTCTGCCTAGAAGGGTTCTTACCCTATTTGCTTAAAGGGGCCGGGCAGTGCAAAACGCCACGGGCGGTTCCCCCGGCATCCGCCCCGCGGTTCCCCCAGCTACGTTCCCTTAACTTAGCGTTGCTTATCTCATCTTAGCTTAGCTTATTTCATCTTATATTAGCTTAGCTTCATCTTAGCTCAGGTTTATCTTAGCTTAGCTTACCTTCATCTTAGCTTCGCCGAGCATAGCAGAGCATGGCATAGCATAGCATAGCAGAGCGTAGCATAGCATAGCGCAGCACAGCATCTCATAGCACAGCCCAGCATAGCAAAGCGCAGCATAGCATACCATAGCATAGTATAGCGCAGCACAGCACAGCACTACACAGCGCAGCATAGCATAGCATATCATAGCATAGCAGAGCATTGCACAACATAGCCAACCATAGCATAGCATAGCATAGCGCAGCATAGCATAGCGCAGCATAGCATAGCGCAGCATAGCATAGCTTAGCTTAGCTTAGCATAGCATAGCTTAGCATAGCATAGCATAGCATTAGCATAGTACAGCGCAGCATGACATATAATAGCTTAGCATAGCATACCATAGCATAGCATAGTATAGTATAGCGCAGCATAGCATAGCATAGCATAGCATAGCGCAGCATAGCATGGCATGGCATAGCATAGCAACTAATGCTGCGTTCCTAGGCGCTCCAACTTCTAGGTAGGGTCGCACTGGGGTAATTTCATACCGTTATTCGCCCGCTAAATTTAGATGTGGGCCATGGAAGAGACGGGCCCAGGGCTCCATGGCCTTCTCCAGGACCGGCGCTTTCCATCTTCATCGTCCTCTGACAGGCCTGGCGCCCAGGAAAGGCGCCAACAATCTCAAAACTGTGGAAAACCACCAGGACCCGTTTCACCGAGCACCCCCAGTGAGATCCGACGCTGCGAACAAAATAGAATTACGACCAGGGCCCTGGACACCACCCTTCTGCGGCGACTCTCGAAGCTGGAGCGATCCGCCAGGGTCCTGGGGCCCGCAGCCAGGTGGAAATGTCTGGTGTGCTTTGCAGTTTGCGTCAACAAACAAGGAACAGCGCCCAAATCTCAGGGCCTTGCACTCATTGGGGAAGGCGGAAAGCCAAAAAAGAGACTGATACCACTACATGCTCGGACCTCTCCCAGGGTGCGTTCTAAACAGACTTTCGAGTCGAATCCAGCGGTGGCTACGAGGGCCTCCCAGGAGGCCCAAACAAGCGAAATAGAGGCAAGGGTAGCGGTATGGATACCTTCCCCTCCTCTGGGATGGAATGGATGCCGCCTCCTCTTCTCTGGGGCAGGCTGCACCAACAGGCGCACTCGGCGACCGTGCCGTTGGGCCGCACCCACGGCAGGTCGACGGAGCTGACTTCCCTCGCCAAGCGCCGCCGCGGCCCGGGGCCGTATATCTGCCGCGCGCCCCCCGCAACATGTGAGGAGCCAGCTCTCCTGCATGAAGCAGGCCCTCTGCTCGTTCTCGCAGCACCACTCCTCCGCGGGCCGCTGGGGCCCCTTCTCCTCCTCCCTTCCCCGGGGCCCGTGCTCCCGCTTCCTCCCCGTCCCCCTGCCCGGCAGCGCTCACGATGGGCCCTTTCATGAATATGCCGAGGGGCCCAAAAATGCAAGAGAGGGCATACCTGCACACACACACACACACACAAGTGCGCGCACACACACACACACACACACACACACACACACACACACGCGCACACACACATACGCGCATCTGGCCTGGAGCTCTTCTTTGGGTTCGGTACCCCGTCTTCCCTCCTCGTCCACATCCTCGCCCAAGTCCACCTCCCCGCTCTTCTCCGCATCGGTCATCCTTCCGCCAACTCCCGCGTCGCAGAACAGAAGAGGCGCACCAAGATCGAAGGTCGCTGCTGCAGCCGCACCGGAGCCTGAGGTCACGCTCTGGGGCGCCTGCGCAGCTCAGGCATGTGTTTGGCGGTCTCGGCTACGAGAGACAATGTTTTGCGATCCTCCATCAGGACGTCGCGTCAAGAATACCATAGCCCCGCACTTGCGGATAAGAGTGAGGGGGCAGCGGGGTCGTCGGCAGTCTGCGAGGCTCGGACGAAGGCCCGCCACAAGCGCCGACATGTTTATACATTGCACAACGAACCCGCCGCAGGCACCACATTTTCGTTAAAACAATGTAGGTGGGTCGCGTGTAGGTCGCGGATAGGTCGCGCGTGGGTCGCGGGTGGGTCGCGGGTGGGTCGCGTGTGGTTCGCGGACGGTTCGCGGATAAGTCGCGGGTGGGTCGGGGGCAGGTCGCGCGTGGGTCGCGGGCAGGTCGCGGGCGAGGACGTCGACAATAACAACAACCGACAACAATAATCCTCACCGCAGAAGCCAACTTCAGGCACGCACCCAGGGATGGTGTAAGATCGCCTGGCCCCCTCAACCTGACGATAAGAGGATGAGCCAAGTCCAGCGCGCAGCCAGTCAGCAGTGGGTGGTTTTCGGGCCGTCAGCCACAGATGGGGGAATTCTTCGAGGAACAAACAATGGCATAAACATAAATCCCCCTCGCTCACGCCACGTCCTTCTTCCATGACTCCTCCCCTCTTTCTCCTCTTCGCTCAGCCCGGCGCCTTCTTCTCGCTCGACCACTTGGCCTCCCACTTGTCGAAGTCCTTGGGAGAAGGGAGGATAATTCCAGGACGAGAGAACAATGACAATGGAGAAACAAAAAACGGCATATACGAAAACGTTCGGAGCTCCGCGAGGACTTATTGGGTCGGCGCTGGACCTCCCCTACTCGGCGCGCTGAGTGCGCCAGGGGGCGGCGCCAGAGGCGCCGCCGGGGCGGTCCCAGCGACGTGCAGAAAAATCCGCGCGGAGTTCCGACAATCCATGTGAATGCATGCTTGTCTTGTGTGAAAGAGAAGGCCAGGACAGGGCAGGCGCCGGCACCGCTCCACTGCCGCATTATGGGGGCGGCGTCATGCGCAGGACGGCTCGTGGGCCGTGGCCCAGCGCGTGCGCATACGTAGTAATCTTGTCGACCTGGCGTTGTCGCAAACAATGCGGGCGCCGCTTCGCGGCGTTCTCGCTGACTCCCGGGTCCAATCACAAACTATGTCTATGCCACGCACGCCCATTAACTCAAACTGCCGGAAAAGAGAGGAGGGGAAAAGGGAGGAGGAGGAGGAGGACCCAAGGCTCCGATGACCCCGCCGAAAGCAGAGACGAACGAGGGAGACCACGAAATAATTTCTGTGGGCTTTCTGGGGAACTTCGGACTGACTATCGCAACCGCCGAGAATCACCATTTAGTGGCACTTAGTGGCCGCTAGCAGCCTGTAGCGGCCGTGTAGCGGCACTTGGCGGCACTGAGTGGCCTTTAGTGACCCCGAAAAATACCATTTAGTGGTACCTCGCGACCGCTACTGGCTCCGAGAAGTACCATTTCGTGGCACTTAGTGGCCGCTAGTGGCTCCGAGAATTATCATTCAGTGACACTTAGTGGCCGCTAGTGGCTCCGAGAATCAAAATGCCATTCAGCGGCACTTGGCAGCCCGAGGTCTATCATTTAGTTGCACTTAGCGGCCGTTAGTGGTTCCGAGAAATACCATTTTAGTGTCACTTAGTGGCCGTGTAGCCCCATCTGGGCCACCGGCATGTAAATCAGGGCTCGGGTTCGCCGACCTCCATGAAAAACACGGGCGCGTGAATGAGACCGCCAGCCCCATCGGGACCGCAAACGTTCGTGCCGCTAAGTCCTGCTCAATGCCGCTATCTTCAAACAAAAACAAATTCGAAGACATTATACAGTTCCCCAAATTGGCCATACAAATAATGAAAAACCGGCAACCCTCAGCCGCACTGGGTGCCACCGCTTAGGGGGCCCCCGTCCGCGGGTGGCACTTGGCCTTGAGATCTCGTAAGGCCGTCGTGCGGGCACTGCTGATTTCCCAGGTTACTGGGCCTTTGCAATGAGCCAGTGACGTAGGGAATTGCCTAGTAAAGCCAGACCCCCCGAGTGGAAGACAAACCACACAGTGGCCACGGATGAGCTGAAACAGCCCGTCGGCACCACTGGACAGAGTCGGCGCCTTGGCCCCAGCAGGAGCCGTATCCCAAGAAGGCGGGTCGCCCCCAGACGCGGCAGCCCACGCAGCGCCCACAGGGTCCGCGGGCGGCTCGTCCGAAGAAAAGGGCATAGCCGACGACGGGCCCGCCCCAGAAGGGGTGCGTCCCGACGCGCCGAGATTTGAATACACTTCGTCAGACTGCAATCTGATACCTATGGTGCACTCGCCAAGAGGGCACGCAGCAAATCCGCAAAACGAGAAACACACACAAGAGCAAGGCTAAACACATTGAAATACACCGCGGGGAAGAGCAAGCGAGAAAGCCAGAAGCCATACGTCGCTCCCTCCCCACCTGCGCTGAGCGCCAACCGCGGCCGTGGCGGACCCGCTGGCCTACAGGGGGCTGCCGTGAATGTTGGTCCTGTCACGGCGGCCAACTGTACAGCACTGCGCAAGGCGGACTCTGACGGCACCTGCCACTCGCAGGGTCGCCATGTCGTCCCAGAAAGCCACACTGCTGCGGAGCTGCCGAGCCGTTGCCCTGCGCAACGCCGCGGACAGCTCGGCGCCCCAGCGTCGGCAGAGGGCGCCGCAGACCGCCTCGGCCCCTGCCCTGGCCGCGCGTCGCTGGCGGAGGCGGTTCAGGATGTCAATGCTGGGCCGCCACACGCGTCTCTAGGGCCCAAGGGGGCACTGGCCACGGACAGCGGCCCTCGGGATACCGCTGCCTCTTCAAGCTCTGCCGCTGCTGCCACCGCGCGGTCGCGACCGGCTGTCGCGGCCGCTGCTTCCTCCCCCATTCCTTTCCCCTCTCCGCCTTCCTCTTACACCACACTCCTTCCTCCTCCTCCCCCTCATCCCTCCCCCCCTCTCACCTCCTCTTCCCACCTTTACTTCGTCTCCTCCCCCCCCTCCTTGCCCTCAACGGCGTCCTCCTCCCCCTCCCCATCCCCCACCCCCTCTTCCCCCTGCTCCTCCTGCCATCCTCCTCCTCCTCCTGCCATCCTCCTCCTCCTCATCCTCCTCCTCTTCCTCCTCCTCCTCTTCCTTCTCCTGCTTTTCCTCCTTCTCGTCCTCCTCCTCATCCTCCTCGTCGCGCAATTTGGCAAGAAAGAGATGGGTCCTGAAGGAACGGGTCCTAACCCCGGGGCTTTCCCCTGGGACTGGCTTAAAGCTGAAAGCACAAAAAAAACCAGCGGTGTTAACATCGGGCCGATTGCCCCCCCCCCCCTAGCGCACATAGTTTGCGTATGAAGAGTCCGCCCGCCGCTCCGACTCACCCCGCTTTACACCCATCTGGCACAGGTCCAAAGGCCGCCCGACAGCGCAGTGAGAATGGGCCCGAAACCCTCAACGAGGAGACCCGCGCTCATCGTTGAACATCGGACACCACTCCTCCAAAATCTCTCTTCCTTCACTGTGGACGCTCGAAATGAACGAACGAACGAACGAAGCTGCCGTCGCCGGAAAGCCGGCGTCCCTGCAAGGTAGGCAGACGCGCTGGTCGCGCGCAGCCCTTCTACGAAGGCCACTCGATGTGGAGTTGTGTCGAACCCAAATGAAACACCACGAGAATTTGCGCGGTCATCAACATGGACGCTCGAAATGAGTACGGAAAGAATGGGCAAAATACCCAACAGCAGATGTTGTCCAAAACCGACATCGGCTGCTGTTGGGCAAGCACCCCCTCGTCTCAACTGGAAACGTCCGCGGTCCGCGGCGACACGGACAGCGAGTCCTGCTCCAACTGGACAGAGGTTGCTGTCGGCTCTGTTCCCTATTCCTTCCCTGCCGATTTCGATCGTGCCGATCCTCGCTCCTCCAAGACCCTTCCACTTTGCATCGCGAGCTGCGCCAGGAGGGGGGGCGCCGCCAGAGGGCTCCTCGCCACAGTCGAAGGGTTTTGCGGTGGTGGTACCGCACGCCTTTTGCTCGACCTCGCAGCACCACCTCGCGTCTCCCGCGGGTTCCCAGACTTCCGTTCGTCTTGGACATCACGGGACGGATGGCGGTTCAAGTGAGGCGGGGATTTATCTATATCCAACGGCATAGGGAACCGACGTCTTCCTTGGAGCCCTCGCGGGCGATGAAAATTGATATGTGTGTATATATATATATATATATATGTATTGGGCCAGGGGGCGAATACTGTGCCGTTACATGTTATGAGCGCACCAGAAGATATGGACTTCGCTCATTACTTCCGCGCGAGCGGCCGGGCCATGGCTGACCCCTGTTCCGACCGCGCCAGGCTGATCCCTCTGCCCAACTAGATTTTTAGCGGGATGTGCCAAGAGCAGTCGGAGCAAATATCCAGATTTCTGAATTCAGAGGTTCGACCTAGTCGATCAGATTCCCCAAACAGTGCGTGCACTTAGAGGTTCTTACTTGTTGGTCATGGGGAGCTGAGCCTGTCAGGCGGCTCCGCGGATCCGTTGTCGCCGTCGCCGCCCCGTCGCCGCCTCGTCACCGCCCGTCCGGCGATATGACGGTTCCGTCCGTGGTCGCCGTCGCCGCCCAGTCGCCTGGGCCTGCACGGTAGTTTTGCAGTTCCGTGGTCGCCGTCGCCGCCTCGTCGCAACACAGAATCCTTGTTTGCAGAAAAACAATTAAATTTTACCCCCTCATCACCTCCCCGACCGGGGTTATCCCCCACGCGTTTCAATTGGAAACTCATATATGATCGTGACCCGTCGATAATTTCCCGTAGGCAAGCCAGCCGGTATCGACCCCTTTTCCGCCATTTTCTGCAACAGTTGTATGCGCGCGCACCAACTGATCACAAACCATAAATTTTCAATCATCCTTTTCACAACAATGAAACGAACTGCGCACGCACGCGTCGTCGCGCGCGCATGCACATTCGGTTTCGGAAAGGTTTCAAAATCGAATGTCCAAAAACAAACAAAACACATCGTCTCGCAACACAAATCTTATTTATATAGACAGCATGCGCGCTCGCTCCTGCGAAATGTGCGAACCACTAAAGGTGTTTTCAACACGCTCAAGAAATACGACCAAACAAGCTTCACCGTTCGAGCACCCTTGCGCGCGTGCTGTCGCGAATCCCCTGCAAATAATGAAACGAAGTACACGCGCGCACGTCGTCGCGCGCGCATGCCAGAATCCTTCAAACATTTTCGGTTTTGGAAAGGTGCCAATATTGAGTGCCCCAGAAACAGACAAAAACAACAGGGCTTCGCAACACCGATATTAAACAAAAGCGCGCGCGCTCAAGCGAATTCGTAAGAAAATGCTAACTAACGGGCTTCGCGCGCGCGTGCTGGGGTGGCACGATCCGTGTCAAATAATACCACGCGAGCCACTCTCGCGCGTCTGCCGCGTGCGCATTTCGAGTTCCTCCCAAAACCTTCTTTCACCGACGCGAAGACGCCGTCATCGTCGCCGTCGTGATTGACATCAGCGCCGTCACTGGCCGTGCCGTCGTCGCTGCCAGCATCGTCGCCGACATCGTTACTATCATCATCATCATCATCATCAAAATCATCACCATCATCACCACCACCACCATCATCATCATCATCATCATCATCACCATCATAACCATCACCATCACCATCACCATCATCATCATCATCATCATCAGCATCATCATCATCATCATCATCACCATCATCATCATCATCATCATCATCATCATCATCATCATCGCGCCTACAACACTAGCCGACTTTGCCATGATACCGCACCCGCCCAAGCCGCCGACTCGCACTCAAGTGCCCGCTGGGATGTTCCGAACGGTCAGCACCACCGCAGCCGCGTTGGTCGCGCCAAACTACCTGGCCGCTGCGAGCGCGCATGCGCGGGCTGGAGCGGCCGCAGAGATGCACCAGCCAGCGCTAAACACTCATCGCAATCGCCGCCGCGTGCGGTTTGCAAACCAATGTGAGGGTGGGTGAGTGTGATGCTTGCGCGAGCAGTGAAATGGACAACTCACTGCGAACAGAAATTAACCTCCTTTCTGAACAGAAAATTGGTTCTACCACCCTCCCCCCCGGGGTTAAAAATCCCCCAAGAACCGATGCAAGACGCATCGGATTCCAACCCTGTGTCCATCCTGCATGTAAATTCATACTATCCCAGCCAAACCGGTATCGACCCCCCCCCGCCACACTCTCCAAAATATTCTATGCGCGCACTCGCTTTTCAGAAACCACAAGTTCCCAAACAAAAATGGAACGAAGTGCGCACGCGCGCGTCGTCGCGCGTGCATGCCAACATCCTTCAAAAACATGCGGTTTCGGAAGGATTCCCAACAAGAGATCACAAAAGACATACAAAAACAAAGAGTCTCGCAACACGCGTGCGCCTTTGCGAAATCTTAAGGAAACCAAAAAAGTTGTCAATATGTTCAAGAAGTGCTACCAAACGGGTTTCGCACGCGCAAATAAAAATCATTCGAACGCCCTTGCGCGCGTGCCGTCGCAAGGATCCTCTGCAAAAAAATGAAGTGCACGCGCGCGCGTCGTCGCGGGCGATGCCAGAATCCTTCAAACACCATGGGCGTCGGAAGGATTTCAAAACCGGCTGCCCAAAAAACTTGCAAAAACATACGGTGTCGCAACACGGATGTTCAACAAAAGCGTGCGCGCGCGCTCTTGCGTCGTCGTCGTCGTCATCGCCGTCCTCCCTCCTCCCTCGTCGTCGTCGTCGTCGCCGTCGTCGTCCTCTGTCTTCCCTCGTCGTCGTCGTCCTCTTCGGCATCATCGTCGTTTCCGTCGTCGCTGTCGCCGTGGTCGTCCTCCCTCCTCCCTCGTCGTCGTCGTCCGTCGTCGGAGTCTCGTCGTCGTCCCTCCTATCTCGTCGCCGTCGTCGTCGTCGTCGTCGTCGTCGTCCCTCCTCCCTCGTCGTCCTCCCTCCTCCCTCGTCGTTGTCGTTGTCGCCATTATCGTTCTCCCTCCTCCCTCGACGTCGGCGTCGTCTTCGTTGGCGACGTCGTCGTCGTCGTCTTCGGCATCGTCATCGTCGTCGTCGGCGTCGCCGTCGTCGCCGTCGTCGGCGGCGTCGGCGGCGTCGTCGTCGTCGTCGGCGTCATCGTCGTCGTCGCTGGCGTCGGCGTCGTTGTAGTCGTCGTCGTCGGCGGCGTCGTCGAAGTCGTTTGAGACGCCGTCGGCGTCGTCGTAGTCGTTGTCGTCGGCGTCGTCGTCGTTGTCGCTGTCGTCGTCGGTGTCGCTGCCAAGTACCATGTGGTACCTACCGTCACGGTCTCAAGGGGTCTTGCGACCAAGTTGCGGGTGAGAGGGTGGGATGATTGCACGAGCAGTGGAAAAGACAGTTTTAAGTTGAGCAAATGATAGTTTCTCCTTTTTAAAAGAAAGAATAGACGCTCTTCCCCGGAGTTAACGGGTCACCTTTTCGTATTGCAATTTACAGATGATCCTGCACACTCGTCCATCCTAAGTATGAACTGGTACGACCCCAGCCGAACCAGTATCGCTCCCCCACCCCGCCATCCCGGGCAACAAATACTTTGCGCGCACTCTCGTTGATCAGAAGTCGTAGGTTTCCAAGAAACCCTTGCAAAAAACTGATACGAAGTGCGCACGCGCGCGTCGTCGCGCGCGCACGCCGAAATCCTTCAACAACCGTTGATTTCTTCGGAACGATTTTAAAATTTAGTTTCAAAAAACATACAAAAACACAGGGTTTCGCAACACTGGTTCGCAACAAATCTTACGCGCGCACTCTTGCGAAATCTTAAGAAAACCATCGGTTGTTCAACACGTTCAAGAAATACTACAAAACACGATTCGCGCGCGCATGTCGAAATTTTTCGAACGCCCTTGCGCGCGTGCCGTCACGAGAATCCTCTGCTAGAACAAATACGAAATGCAGAACGCGCGCGTCGTCGCGCGCGCATGCCGGAATCCTTCAAAAACCTTCGGTGCCGGAGAGATTTCAAAATCTAGTGCCCAAAAAACTTGCAAAAACACAGGTTTTCGCAACACGGATGTTCAACAAAAGCGTGCGCGCGCGCTTTTGCGTCGTCGTCGTCGTCGCCGTCCTCCCTCCTCCCTCGTCGTCGTCGTCTTCGCCGTCGTGGTCCTTGGTTTTTTTCGTCGTCGTCGTCTTGGCGTCGTCGTCGTTTCCGTCGTCGTTGTCGCCGTGGTCGACCCTCCTTTCTGGTCGTCGTCGTCGGCTTTTCGTCGTTGTGCCTCCTATTTCGCCGCCGTCGTCGTCGTCGTCGTCGTCGTCGTCGTCATCGTCGTCGTCTTCCCTCCTCCCTCGTCGCTGTCGTCGTCGGCGTCGCCGTCCTCGCTCTTTTTTGGTCGTTCGCGTCGTCGCCATCCTCCCTCCTCCCTCGTCGTTGTCGTCGTTGCCGCCGTCGTAATCCTCCCTGTTCCCTCTTCCGTCGTCGTCTTCGTTGGCGACGTCGTCGTCGTCGTCTTCGTCGTCGTCGTCGTCGGCGTCGTCGTCGTCGTCGGCGTCGGCGTCGTTCTCGTCGTCATTGTCATCGTCGGCGTCGTCGGTGGCGTCGGCGTCGTCGTCGTCGTCAGCGTAGTCGTCGTCGTCGTCGTCGTTGTCGGCGTCGTCGAAGTCGTTGGGAACGTCGTCGGTGTCGTCGTAATCGTAGTCGGCGCGTCGTCGCAGTCGTTGTCGCTGTCGTTTTCCGCCACGCTCTTCGATTGGAAATTCATGTATGATCGTGGCTGTTCGCTCAGTTCCCATATGAATTCATACGGCCCACCCGTCATCCTCTGCAAAAAAAAATAAATGCTCGCGCACTCTTTCATCAACAGTCACAAGTGTTCAAAAATCCATAGCAAACGATGAGACGAAGTGCTCACGCGCGCGCCGTCGCGCGCGCGTGCCGAAACCTTGCAAACACCGTCGGTCCCGGAAGAAGTTCAACATCGAGCGTCCAAAAACACAATCAAAAAACGGAAAACACAAAACCAAAACAACAGCAAGAAGAACATGGCTTCGCAACACCGGTGTTCAATAAAAACGTGCGCGCGCCCTTGCGAATTCTTCCGAAAACCATGCACTTTCCAACAGTTTCAAAACATGCTACCAAACGGGCTTCGCGCGCGCATGTCGAAATCGATCGAACGCCCTCGCGCGCGAGCTAGGGTGGCACGATCCGTGTCATGTGAAGCCATGCGGGCCACTCTCGCGCGTCTGCCGCGCGCGCATTTCGAATTCGTTCCTAACCTCCATCACCGACGCGAAAGCGCCGTCATGAGTCATCGTCGTCGGCGTGATCAGCATCGGCGCCGTCACTGGCTGCCGCGCCATCGCTGTCAGCATCGCCACAAGCATCGCTACTCTCATCATCGTAGTCGACGTTGCCATGACACCGCGCCCGCTCAAGTCGCCGACTCGCGAGGACATGCCCGCTGGGATGTTCCGAGCGGTCAGCGCCACCGCGTTCGCGTCGCCCGCGCCAAACTAGCTGGTCGCTGCCCGCGAGCATGCGCGGGCTAGCGCGGCCGTAGAGATGCACGAGCCAACACCAAGCATTCATCGAAATCGTTTCCGCATGGGGCGTGCAACCAAGTTGCGGGTGGGTGGGTGGGATGTTTGCGCGAGCAGTGGAGTGGACAACTTCAAGTTTAGCATTGGTGAATTCCCCGGTCTAAGGAGAATAGATTCTCCTCCCCTCCCCCCCCCGGCTTAACGATCCACCTTTTTGTATATCGCCCTCCCGCCACCCTCTGCAACTATGCGCGCGCACCCGCTTATACAAAAACAGAAGGTGCGCAAAATCAAGTGCACAAAACATATATACATATAAAAGACACAAGGTTTCGCAACACAGCGTTTCAAAAAAACGTGCGCGCGCTCTTGCTCATTCTTGAAAAAAAACATAGGTTAGTCAAAAGAAACGTGCGCGCGCGCGCTCTTGCGAATTCTTAAAAGGCCCACGCGTTTTTCAACAGTTTCAAAACATGCTACCAAACGGGCTTCGCGCGCGCATGTCGAAATCGTTCGAACGCCCTTGCGCGCGAGCTAGGGTGGCACGATCCGTGTCAAACAAGACCATGAGAGCCACTCTCGCGCGTCTGCCGCGCGCGCAATTCGAATACCTTCCAAAACCTGCATCACCGACGCGAAGACGCCGTCATCGTCGTCGGCGTGATCAGCCTGTCTTTCCTCGTCGTCGACGTCGTCGCCCTCATTGGCGTCGTCGTCGTTTCCGTCGTCGTTCTCGCCGTGGTCGTCCTTCCTCCTCCATCGTCGTCGGCGTCGTCCGTCGTCGGCGTCTCGTCGCCGTCCCTCCAATTTCGTCGCCGTCGTCGTCGTCCTCATCGTCGTCGTCGTCGGCGTCGTCGTCGTTGTCGCCGTGGTCGTCGGCGTCGTCGTCGTCGGCGTCGTCGTCCTCGTCGGCGTCATCGTCTTCGTCGTCGTCGTCGGCATCGGCGTCGTCGTCGTCGGTGTCGTCGTCGTCGTCGTGGAAGTCGTCGGAGTCGTCGTCGGTGTCGTCATAGTCGTCGTCATCGGCGTCGTCGTCGTCGCTGTCGTCGTCGTCGTCGGTGTCGTTGCCAAGTGCCATTTGGTACCTACCGTCACGGTCTGAAGAGGTCTTGCGACCAAGTTGCTGGTGGGAGGGTGGGAAGTTTGCACGAGTTGTGGAGAGGACAGCATCAAGACAATCAAAGTACATTGCACCACACAGAATGCACCGCACATATTGCTTCACGTCGACATCACGACATAACCACCTAGATAGCACCACACAGGCTGCGCCACATAAATTGAACCACGCGAATTGCATGACATAGATAGCACCACGTTTCTTGCACCACACATATTGCACCACATCTAATGCACAATGCGGAGTGCACCACATATTCAGATGTATATATATAGAGAGAGAGAGAGTGTACCATATGTATTGCACCTCACATATTGCACAACATCTATTGCACCACATATATCGCCCCACATATAAGACACAACATACGTTGCTACGTAGAAGCGAGCTCCTGGGGGTCGACGATGGCAAAAATTCTATGTAGGAAACGGGTTCGTTTGATCCTAACATGGCAATACGTGGTTGTAGTAATCCCACCGTACGGGATGCTGCCCCAGCGAATGCCAAATGAGCGCATGTCAATTCGTCGCGAAACTTTCGGAACGCCGATTCGCATCCATGTCCACCGTGTACCGAGGTCCCCGAAGATCGATCTCTCAAGCGGAGGTCATGGATACAATCGTTCCACATTGGCCGACTGCAGGCCACTAACGGCGTCATCTTTGCACGCCTGCGGAGGGGCTGCTGATGCGCCGGCACGACCCGAACCTACCAGCACTCCCAACCTCGGATTTCATCGTTGTCGGCGTCCGGGGGGGCCAACCGCGCCCAAACGACTCGGGAGGAGGTGACCCGCTCTGGCCGAGGTGGTCTGCAGCACCTCTGGGGCTCCGTGATGTGACGAAAACTAATCTCGAGGAACAAAAAAAACATGGCATACACATAAACGTTCGGAACTCCGCGCGAATTACTTCGATCGGCGCTGGACCGTGCGAGGCGGGGATTTATCCATATCCACCACCTGGGCTGCCACAATCCAGCTCGCTGGCTCCTCTCCGAGGCCCGAGAGGACGGAGGGCTTGGGGGCAAGATCCGTCAGCAGCGACTCAAGAATCCGCGTCGAAAAAGAACATCGCGCCCCAGATCGGGCCGCACAGGCACGGAGGACGAAACTGAATCGGATCGGCTGCGGCATAAATGTTCAAATGTTCAGCAACGCCATGCAAGCATCGGCCGCATCGGATCCCCGGATCATCGTCAGTCGGATCGAACCAGCCGGAACCTGCATCGAATCAGCTCGATCGGATCGAAACTGACCCTGCCTCGCCTGCCTGCTTGAGTTGTGTCGAATCTAGGGGAGCCTCGCCTGCCTGCACGCGAGGCCTCTCGGGTCATCAGTCGGCATCCGAATGCACGGACAGTCGTCGCGCGAGAGGTGCGCGATTGCTGAGGCCGTCGTCATTCCTGGGATATTGGACTCGGGGTGGCCAGAAAGAACCTAAACCTGCCCGGAAAAATTACGACTTCCTTCGTAAACATACTCTGGGGCCCTCTGCGGGCCCAGGACCGTCAAGAAACGACTCGAGATGAGCAAGTATTTCCGGGAAATGGCTTAAAACATCCAGGGGCCCAGATTGCAAAGTAAATACTGCGTCAGAGGTCTGGGGAGGGGCGGGGGGTGGAGGGGGAAGGAGCATGGGGCAGAGAGAGGGAGATGCGGATGGGGGGGAGAAGGGGAGGGAAGGGCGGGAGGGGGCCAGGCAGGAAAACGGGGAGGGGGAGAAGGAGAGGAACGAGGTGAGGGGCAGGGCTTCAACCATCCTCCCCCTCAACTCCATGCCCCCTTTCCCTCCTCCTAATCGTCCTGCTCCCACGTACCCTCCTCCCTGTCCTCCCCCTTCCCCTCCTTCTCCTCTCCTTCCCAGCCTTTGTCTCCTCCTGCTCGGCTAGAACGATATCAAGCCACTTCTATATCCTCGAGAGGGTGATGGCAAGTCAAGGCGCATAGACAATAGTGCTCCAAAATCTCTTGACCAGGCTGTATAATAAGAAATATACCCAACTTAATGTTTCGCTACAGCCCAACACCGAACGCCAGCACGCGTATCTATGTGGACGCCCATGCCTGCCTGCATCAACGACTTCTGATCGACAAATTCATGCAACTTGCAACTAAACCCAACGCGACAGCAGGGCGGGGTTCGAAACGTCGCTATGCTTGCCACAACGCGAATCAAGTAAGGAGCCGTCTGGAACAAAGGATTCCTGCCCTGGAATGCTATGATATTGTCATTGGCCACGAGCACATGCTCAAGAATGCCAGCCCGCAGTTGCCGACAGGACGTCGAGCGCTGGCACCCCTCGTTGTTCCTCTAAGCACACACAGACCCTTCGCAGTTCAGTGCCAAAGCGAACGATGCATACGAATCAGAGCAAGTGACAAGGCCATGAAAGAAATTTCGAAGGCCGGCCACTTCTTCTTTGGCATAGACCAACCCTTCAGCCAGTTGTCCAAGCCGGCATCACAGTCAAACATCTTACTTGTGGTAGTTGTCTCGCAAGCGACTTGCTGAGCCTCGCAACACCACCTGGGGCTCAGTTAACTCCCAAAAAGATGTGCAAGAGTGGGTGACAAGGTGCGAGGCCTGATGGAAGTGGAGAGGAAAAGAGATACGAAGGGTGGAGCGAGACAAGCAGGCGCGCAAGAAACATGATACGAATGATAAACAAAATGCATGAACATACACTTCCGGAGGTCCGAGCGGGACTTCTTGCGTTGGTTCTGGACCCTCCTCCCCTGCCGGGCGAAGCGCGCCCAGGGGGCGACGACGGAGGGGCGACCCGCCAGGAGATGGCAATGACACTTTGGGGACCCAGGGGACCCAGAAAAATACATATCCAGTGTAACCTGGTGGTCCTCGGAGATCGGTTTCCAGAGCGGTGGACACGGACAGACGGTGGCCTCGAACTGGTGGATGTTTCGATCTTCCCCATTGTCAACTCATGCAATATACCCGAACTAAGTTTGCAACCGCGTCTGCGTCCAGCAGTCCAGCCTTTGACGCCTACAGCGGCTGTATACATCGATGAAAACATGACCTCCCAGACGGAAACAGGGAGAGGCCGGAAGGGAGAGGGTGGAAGAGTTCGGAAGGAGGGTGAGGAGGATAGTGCGGATGGAGGAGGGGGTAGGAGGGGGAGGGCAGGAAGTTGGGATTGTGACAATGACTGTGACACGCACAAGGCACCATGCAAAGGCCGCGGAATATGGTAGAAAAACCAGCAACGTGCTAAACATGTTGGTGGACGTCGTCTCTAAATTGCTCCACGCCGACCGTGCCCGCTTCGGCGCAGATGAATTGCTACACGCCGACCATGCCCGCTTCGGCGCAGAGAAAACATCGAACCTTTGGTAAGCTCTGGCGTATGGGTCGATAGGGCCGACAGCAAAGGCCTGGGCTTGATCCTCCTGTTTTGTCTCCGTGCGGAACTCGTCCACGTAGGACGAAAACAAGGCGTAACCTTCTCGAGGGCGCTGTCGCCCTTGAACTTACAGGTCAGCTGACTGCCATTCGCAGTTTTCAGCGGCGCAGATAGAATGATGCTGGCCGATTCGTCCTGGACATTACGTAGCTTGGTCCTGGCACCATGGGCATGCGTTCTTGACCTTCCTGCAAAAGGGCTTTGGGAGGAAGGGGCACGCGATGCGCGTGCTTGTAGTGTTTCAGCTACGTCTTCGCGTCACGGGCGAGACCACCCATCTCGTCGCCTTCGCCCTTGCAGCGATGGCGTTCAATGCCAGCAGGGCGCTGGGATTGAACAAAGTTCTGAGTGCTCAATATCCTGAGCGTCACGAGGATCACCACGAAAAAGCACGAGGCAAAAGCGAACCTCGACTTGCACGTCCAGCGAGAGATATTGCTTTCGCATCGACCTTCCCCTCAGCACCTTCGGGAGGGTTGAGGGTCTTGGGGCAGCAGACCCATGACCTCGGCGTGAATGACGACCCACGCCCAAGGAAGAAGCGACGGCACTTCACACAAGCAAGAATGAGATTCGCCGGCACTCGTCTAGAATCTAGCGCACCGCGAGCATGCGATGACATCGTCGCCGCCGTCGGCCATGGCGGCGCAGAGTGCAGCCGAGGTGTCCAAAAAGAAAGAACGCTGGTCACGCATGCCACCTTGTAAACGAGTGATACAAGAACCCGCAAACTGCGATACCCTGAGCCAAAGTAAATGGGGACGGTGGGGGGGGGAGAAAGGGAAGATGCCAAGAGAACGGGGAGGGGAGGGCCCATGAGGCGGGGACGAGCACACGACCTCAGAATAAAGGGGCGTGAGCTTGACACGATGTTAAGTAAATATCCGAATGGGCCGAAGAATGACAATCGCGTAACCGTGTCACGAATCGGTTGAGCGTGTACAATTTAGCAACGCTCATACCCCCACAACACGTCTAACACACATACACGCTCACACACGTCTCGCACCTTGGCGTCCACTTCTGCGATCAAGGCAAATCATGATTCGCCCACCCCCTGTCTACCGCGCCACCAGCAATGTCGCATGCATGCTTTGCTAGGTTGCACCACGCGCGTTGTTGCTGGATTGTTAGACGCGCGTCGTCGCTGAAATATCGCTCAGCACATTGGATGTCACTGATGTGCGCCTGCATCTGCTTAATACCAGCGGCAATAGCAAATTCATAATTGACGAACCCACGAGCATGCATGTGATCGGGGTGGGCATAGCCAGCCTGCGTGAGAGAGATGCAACCTGCATCATACGAATCACAAACACATTCGCCCTTTGCGCTGCCGTTAGAAAGCACACAATACAGATGCGGATTACGAGCCAACGCGCATGATGCAACAAATAACGTGGGAATCCCACTTCTTCTTCGGAATCGACCATCCCGCTTTCCAGTTACTGAAGCCAGCCGAACAGTCATAAGGCAAACTTGTTGTAGTCTGGGGGCGTGTTTCACTGGATGAGCCCTGTGCTGACATGCTCTGCAAAGTATCGAAACAACCGATTCCGCCCACGATGTGTCAAAACTTGCGAACAAGGAAGCTCCGAAACATATGATAAACAGTTTGCACCGTAGCACCTCACTTCCAGATTGGTTATGTCGAGCGGTCATGCGCTCCACTCTCTATCTAGGGCAAGCGGCCATCGCCCAAGAAAAAAGGGTGACCGGTGCCCAAAAACCGGCACTCCGAATAATAATATGGGAAGATGGGCACGAGGAGGGGCCCAGACCTCCGACGTCTCATGAGAGGCGAAGTCCAGACGGCGTAAAGCCCAGACGGAGACCGAGCGATCGGACTTACTCCGTGTGCACTGAGCCTCCTGTCAGGAGAGGCCGAGTCCAGACGGCGCGAGCCCCGATAGAGACCGAGCACTCCGCATGGTGTTGCTCCGTATGGACTTGGCATCCGCCGAGCGTCGTGACTGCTGACGACGTGGGCCACCTGTTGTCTCGACCCTCTTCACAAGGGCCAGCTTTCCACCGCGAGCAGCCCTGTGATGTTCCACGGAGCGCGGCGAGAGCCCCCGAAGGCCGACAGCCATGTATCAAACAGATCCCGCCGAGATCTCTCTCGCGACGAAACGACTGGGGCGGACATGCCAATACTATGCGCCTCCCAATTGTGGGCGCACGCCCGAAGCAAACATCCAACACGGACCTGTTATAGTGTATCGTCATCCCATGCGGTATGGCCAGAAAGCGCTCGCAACCGAGTGCGTACTACAAGATATATGAGCTAACGCACACACACACATATGTAGATCTACGTATAAGTGATGCCCAAGAGAAAAGCATGGCGACGAAAGCGAAGAGGGTGCAGCCGGCATTAGCCTTCCATGCCTCGCGATCGAGAGGCCAAGCATGCTGTCCTTCTCCTTCGTTGCCTCCACCTCCTCCACCTCCACTGCCCCTCCTCAACTGTTCGATTTGTTTCGATCCGTTGGAAACTTCGGAACTCAGCATCGGCACGGGTCCGACTGCTAAGGGCTGTATTCTAAAAATGCGTTGCCCATGCCCCGCGAGGAGTGGAGCTTTCGTAGCCTAACTGATCGGCCACATGTGTGTCTGTTCGTCATGTGGTTGTTATCCTTGTTCTTCCTGTAACACTCTCTTGCTCAGGTTCAAGTGGTGAACTGGTGACCGGATGACGACGGGGGAAAGGAACAGCAAAAAGACAAAATGAAAAAAAGGAGGGCCGGGAGAAAAAGGTAACGGAGAGAGGGGGTGGGGAAAACGAAGAAGTGAATTCCAGGCGCCAACGCTGCCATGTGCCGAGTGACTGGGCCAGTCCGAATTTGAAGAGACGTAAAAAATGCCCTGCCTCGCAGGCCTTCTGCTCGTTTTCGCAGCACCACCTCGGAGGCTGGCGGGTGCAGAAGCATTGGGCATCGCCGAACCCATCCTCCGCTGCCTCGCTCCCTCCTCATGAACCTCCACGTCCTCCTCCCCCTGCTCGTGCTCCCTCATCGTCCTCCGGCTCCCCCTCTCCTGCTGATCCTCCGACTCCTGTCCTCTTGATGACTCTTCCTCACAATCACCTACTTTGCCAACAACAACCACCAACATTCCTCGATACGAAACCACTGGTTCTCGCCGTAGCGAACCCACCCCCACCACTATACGTGGTCCCTTGTCGTCCGACGGATTCTCGAAGTGGAATATTCTTGTCAATAGGATGTCAACGGGCATAATCATGTATCGGGAGCGGTTCTAGGGAAGCGTATTGCTCCCTCCCTCCTCCCCCATTAAACATCCTTTACCTTCCGCCTGTTCCCCTTTTCTGGGTTTCATCCTCCTCACGCGCGCGCACAGAGTTCGTGTGGATGTATGTGTATATGTATACTTATATTATGTATAGAGAGAGATAAACAAAAAGGACAGAGGGACAGAGAGAGAGCGAGAAAAGGAGAGAGAGAGAGAGAGAAAGAAGACATAACAAAGACTGCCGATCCACTTCTTCTTCGGAGTAGACCATCCAGCCTCCCAGTTGTCCTGGCCGGCTGAGCAGTCAAAGGGCAAGCTCGTAGTGGTTTCGCACGCCTTCTGCTCGTGCTCGCAGCACCACCTGGCTGTCAATGTTCAGTAAGGCACAAACATGCAAACGTATTCCCGCCAACCCTCTGGGTACATGCGGTCAAACGATGTCTTCCTTCCCTCGTCCGAGAGCCCCTTTTTCCCCGCCGGGAAAGGGTTTCATCACTATTCCTTATTCGTATACACCCCCTGCCCCAGGCGACCAGCGTCCAACCAAAAACCATGAGGACACCATGACGGCCCGCCCCCACCATCCCTGTCAACAAACAATAAAAACCGCAGTCAGCCTCCACATTTGGAGCATGCGCGGCCAACCCGATGCGCCCCTCCCCACCATACCTGCCAAAAAACAACGCAACGTACACAGTTGGGGCAAAGTCTTGAGTCATGTTCGTCAAACCCCCGGGCACTTGGTATTGCTTTCAACCGGAACGGCGGGGGTGTCAGCATATTCCCTGCTGTGCGCAGGGCTACCCCCTGACAAAAAAATCACCTCGCGGCTAAATCTGGACCATGCGCGGCCATCCCGCGATCACGGCTAAGTGGTTTTTGACAGGGACGGCGGGGGTGGTGGCGCGTGGCCTGCGGTGCGCAGGCCCGCCAACACGACGATGGGCATTGGTTCTCGATAAGGATGGCGGGGGCCGGCATGCTCCCCGATGTGTGCCGTCACGTGCGCACGCGCACCTGACGCACTCTGCACGTTCCCCGAACGTGGCACACCTGGCGCGGCTGGAGTGTGCGGCACACCTGGCGCACTCGGAGCACGTGGCACATCTGGCGCACCAGGCGTGCCTGGCACGCTCGGGCCCCAGGGGTGCCTGGCGCGCCTGGCGCCCCTGGCACGCGTGGCGCACCTCGCCCAAGCGTCGCGCACCTGGGGTCGGCGTTGGTTCCCAGTAGCTGTCCATCCAAAAACGACCGCTGAACATGCTCAGGCTCGGGTGTTACTTATGTGTTGGGAAGCCGGGTGGGGGTGAGCTAGACGGTTTGCGGGCAGGCGGGCAGTTTGATTACTGTTCCCTATTAATAAACACCCCCTCCCCCAGGCGACTGGGGGCCAACCCGAGTCCATGCCGACACCCCCCCCCCCACCATCCCTTGTAAAAAACAATACAAACACACACTCTGCCTCCAAATGCGGAACATGCCCAGCCAACCCGATGCGGCCCCCCCCAACCATCCCTGTCAAAAAACGATACAGAGTACACTTGGCGGCGGCGGCTGCGGCGGCTGCGGCGGCGGCGGCGGCGGCTGCGGCGGCTGCGGCGGCGGCGGCGGCGGCGGCGTCGGCGGCGGCTGCGGCTGCGGCGGCGGCGGCGGCGGTGGCGGCAGCGGCTGCGGCGGCGGTTCGGCAGCGGGGGCGGCGGCGGCGGCGGCGGGCGGGCGGCGGCGGCGGCGGCAGGCGGCAGGCGGCAGGCGGCAGGCGGCAGGCGGCGGCGCGGGCGGCGGCGGCAGGCGGCAGGCGGCAGGCGGCAGGCGGCGGGCAGGCGGCGGCGGCGGCGGCGGCGGCGGCGCGGCGGGGGCGGCGGCGGCGGGCAGCGGCGGCGGCGGCGGCGGCGGCGGCGGCGGCGGTGGCAGCGGCGGCGGCGGCGGATTGGCCCCCAGTAGCTCCCCATCCCTTCCCAAGCTGAGGCTCGGGCCAGACTCGGGTGCTACGCATGTGTTGGGAGGGCGGGTGGGAGTGAGCGAGACGGCTTGCGGGCGGGGAGGGGGTAACTTGACCCCTACCCTGGACCTGGACGAGGGGGGGGGGGGGGCGCGAGGTGTCAGAGGGCCCTTGTGGCCCAAGATGGCTCCACGAGGGCCCCAGAGAGCCCAAGATGGCCTCCAAGGTAACTCAAGACCAACATGACTCAAGATAGCGAACAGCTTGCCTCCAAGAGGCCGCAAGGGGGCCACAACGCGGATCTAAGTGTTTTCGGAGACCCCTCAGGACCTCTCCGAAAAGCCCAAATCCTTCAAACACCGCAGGGAGATCGATGATGTTGGCCTTTTCGCCTCTCCGCTTCCGATGCGCTTTTGAGGTTAAGATGGCCCCAAGATGGCCCCAGAGGACTCCAAGAGGTGCCCAAGAGGCCCCAAGTCCGCCCCAAGGGCGCCCAAGATCGCAACAAGAGCGCCCCAAGAGGGCCCCCAGGGGAGATCTCGAGGGCTGTCAGGGGAGAGCCTGGATAAGGGACCCCCCCCCTTTGATCGATGGCCTCCAAGATGGCCCCAGGAGGTCCTCCGAAACTCCCAGGAGAGCCCCAAAAGAGCCCCAAGAGGGCCCCAAGAGGGGCCTCAAGAGGGCCCCAAGACGCCCCAAAAAGAGCCCCAAGAGGACCCCAAGGCCTCCCCAAAGAGCCTCAAGAGGGCCCCAAGATGCCCCAAAGAGACCCAAGAGGACCCAAAGACGCCCCCAACAAGCCCCATAGCCTTAGATCCAAGAGAACCTCCGATGCTCCAAAATACCCTCCAACATGGCTCAACACGTTCCTCCGCCTCCTCTCTTTGACCGCTCTGCTTCACTATATGCGTCTCTGCTTTCCCAGTTCCCGTCAGTTCTCCTGGGCAGGGCGTCTGAATGGGCTGGCGGGCATTCGCGAAGCGTAAACAAGTGGATAAGCATCGCTTCAACGAGCGTGGCAAACATCCACGGAAGACAAATCAAGACCGTCACGGCCGCAAAGTCATCCGGCGAAATCTGGAAAAACTGGCATGCGTACAACACCGATGGCACGCATCCTTTCTCGCAACGTACTCCCGAAAGCCGCACACGATGCCCACCATCAGTAGAATAACGACAGTCCGGACACAAAAGAAGCAACACACCGGTGTAAGGACCGCAATCACACAGATGGAGGCCCTTCGGAGACGAGTGTCGCAAGGGATAACGAAAAGAGCACGCTGACAAAACCATGAAAGGAAACACCAAAGAAGGCAAGCCACGTCTTCTTCGGGACAGACCAACCCTTCAACCAGTTACCCAGGCCTGCGTCACAATCGAAGAGCTTGCTGGTGGTGGTCTCGCACGCCTTCTGCTCGTTCTCGCAGCACCACCTAACAACCGAGGGATGGCCGGCGGGAGGTATCAGCACCGCCCACTGCGTGCCGTGCCAACCTTTGACATCCTTCACAACCAGGCGCCCTGTTGCGCCACCCACACCCCTCCGCCACGACGGGGAACTCCCCCGCGCATTCCTTTTAAGCATGCCGTGCCCTTCTCGCAATCCATCTTCGCGCTAGATGCGCGCATCCCCTTCATGTCCTTCACCTGTTGCCCACCAAGCCGAAGTTTCCACTGTCGCACCCCCCTCCTGCGCAGGGCAAAACAACATGCACGACTTTGAAGCGAGGGGAACGAGGCATCAACGGCCATCAGAGAGAGAGAAGGAGAGAACAAGCGCGACGCACACACGGAGAGATAGATAGAGGGCGAGCGAATTGGAAAGAGTGAATTTTAGTTAGCGTGGACCTCAAACACTGATGCCTTGCAATATGTGCCGTGAAAACTACGTGGTCCAATCAATGTGGTGCTATATAGGTGGTGCAATCCATGTGGTGCACAGCAAAGCAAAGCACTGCACAGGCAATGCAAAGCAATACAAGGCAATGCGAGGCAATTCGAAACATGCAAAGCAAACTGATGCAGCGCAATGCGACGCAGTGCAAAGCAACGCAAGACAGTCCCAAACCAATGCATCGCGAACGACGGCAAGTGGGTATAACTGGGAGGGGGGCGGGGGGGGGCAACAAGGCCGCGGCGAGGGACGGGAACGGGGCCGCTAAGCCAAAAGACTGGCTTTCTGACCCAGAAAAATTGTAGGGCGGCGGCGGACGGGAACGGGGCCGCTGGGCCAACAGACGGGCCCAGTCGGAAGGGAAGTAAGAACCCGTAAGTGCAACCACAGAGAGAAAGGGACAGCGAGAAAGGGAGACAGACGGTCCACTTCTTCTTCGGAGCCGACCAGCCAGCCTCCCATTTGTCAAAGCCCGCCGAGCAGTCGAAGGGCAAGCTCGTAGTGGTTTCGCACGCCTTCTGCTCGTGCTCGCAACACCACCTGGCTGTCGTGGCTCAAACACGAGCACGCAAACGGAATTGAATGACGGACGCATCGCAAAAGGAACGCAAGATTCAGCACATGCGGCCGAATCATCCAGTGGCATCCGGGGTCAGATAATATGACAAGAGGATCAACGACCAATTGGCACCGCGGTGGGAAGGTGCGTACAACGGCGACGGCACGCCTCCCTTGACGCAAAAGACACCTACAACACCCTCCAACAATAGAATGAAGATAAGAGAGGGTGCGAACTGGCTGAGTCTGCCCGTCTTGTCGCATTGAACTGACTGAACAGGAACTCAGTGTGCACCCGAACGACCCGAGAACATGATGGTTTGGCCAAAGACAGGCGTGACCAAAACTGTGTCTGCTAACTTGCCGCAGCAGTGGACTCATGTAGCGAAATGGACAGACATGCGAGGGGCCAGCAGTGGCAACAGAATAGAGCGAATTAGAGAGAGACAGAGGTATAGATCTGAAAGCACATTGACAGGCGATCCACTGTTTCTTCGGAGCCGACCATCTAGCCTCCCAGTTGTCCTTGCCCGCGTTTGAATATTGAAAAACGGCTGCTGGCCCGATTACGGCCCGAACGCAAAGGCAAGTACGGGCCACCTGAGGCAAAACCTCAGGGTGGGCGGATCCGCATCCATACGGAAACGGATCGAGGAAAACCTTCGTCAGGGGAAGACTCGCACTCGTCATATGGAATATGGAAAACAGTATCGGAAGCGAGCCGGAGCCCACACTGAAAAGTATCAAAATCGGTTAGGAAGATCCTTCATCTGCTACATCCCGTCGCGTGCTAGATCTCCGACCTCCGTCTGCCACAACTTCTGAAGGTAGAAAGAGAGAGAGAGAGAGAAGAAAAAAAAAGGGAGACAGAGAGAGAGAGAGAGAGAAGACATAACAGAGACTGCCGATCCACTTCTTCTTCGGAGAAGACCATCCAGCCTCCCAGTTGTCCTTGCCCGCCGAGCAGTCGAAGGGCAGACTCGTAGTGGTTTCGCACGCCTTCTGCTCGTGCTCGCAGCACCACCTGGCTGTCGTGGCTAAGGCACGAGCGCGCAAGTTTGATGAAATGACACAGAACCCACTAAAGAAACGAAATGCTCAACACGCGGCAGAATCGTCCGGAAATAACTAAATACAGAAGGACAATAACATGACACAAGGATCCGCGACCAATTGGCGCCGCTGACGAGTACAACATCGATGGCACCCCTCCCTTCCTTCGGAATACGCCCAAAGACCGACACAGTGCCCTCCAACAGTAGGGCAACGACCGTCTACTAGACACAAGTGAGGCAGTACGTCGGTGGAACTAGTCACGAAGAAATGGACACCCTTCCAAGACGTATCGCAGCGGATTGCGCACATGGCACGATGACCAAGCCATGAGAGGAAGCGCCAGAGAAAGCAAGCCACGTTTTCTTCGGGACAGACCAGCCTTTCAACCAGTTGTTCAGGCCTGCGTCACAATCGAAGAGCTTGCTGGTGGTGGTCTCGCACGCCTTTTGCTCGTTCTCGCAGCACCACCTGGCAGCCGTGGGATGGCCGGCGGGAAGTATCGACACCGAGCCCTGCGTGCCATGCCACCCCTTGCTATCCTTCAAGGTCAATGTCGGCGCCCTGTTGCGTTCCCCGACCCCTCCGTCACGACGGGGCATCCTGCTTGATCGTATCCCAGACCCGCCCTCCGCGCCACCATTTCAAGTATGCCGTGCCCTTCGCGCAATCCATCTTTGCAAGCCCTACATCCCCTTCTATCCCTCACCTATTGCCCACCTAAGCCGAAGATTTCACTGTCGCCCCCCCTCCTGCGCAAGGCAAAACAAAAAGGTACGACTTTGAAGCGAGAGGAAATGGGCAACCGTGGCCGTCGGAGAAGAGAGGGAGAGAGAGAGAGACAGACAGAAAGAGAGAGAGAGAGAGAACGAGAGCGAAACAATCACACAGACTTGGACATAGAGGGAGAGCGAAAGGCAAAGAGGGTGAGAGGGAGGGAGAGGGAGAGGAATAAGGCGAGAGAACGAGAGAGAGAGAAAGAGGGAGCCAGCGGGACATGGAGACGGGTGATCCACTTCTTCTTCGGAGCCGACCATCCCTTCTCCCAATTGTCGAAGCCCGCCAAGCAGTCGAAGGGTAAGCTTGTCGTGGTCTGGGGGCGAAATTATTTTCGCCGCGCTGAGGGCACGAGGTGCGCGCGGCCACGCCCTCCGCGCCAAGCTCAGGCAAAGGCACGAGATCACGAGCAAAATGAGGACACTCTGCAGCGCGCCCAGGAAGGACAGAGGCGGCGAGGGCTTCTCAGAAGCCCCCTGGCCTTCTGAGAAACCGTCCATGTCTTCGGAGAAGGCTTAGAAAGCGTCTTAGAAGACCGAAGGCCCGCCCTCTCTGCATCGCCGTCGAAACACGCTGGTGGCATGGAGGAGACGTCAGGAAGCAACTCCTGGGAGGCGATCGTGAGAAGCAGCAAGGGCTTTCAAGCCCGATCAGGGGCCATTGAGCTGGGTCAGGCAAGATTAAGCCCGGGATAAGGACCGGCAGTAAGCCTGATTAAGCGGCATGGTGCAGAACTAGGCCAGTTGTCGCTGACGGAAGCACTAACGCCGATGGTGAATTTAACATCCCAGGAGTGGCATCCCAAGAGACGTGGGTGAAGAGGATGGGCGGGAGGGGGAGGAGATGGAGAAACAAGGATACGACGCTGGAGGGGCACGATGAGACGAGCGGAGGCCGAGGAGGAGCACAAAGACAAAACAAGGAGGCGGCGGAGGAGCAGGAGGAGGGGTCGCTTGAGTGACCGCACTTCTTTCGGCTGCCGTCTGCGAGTGCCTAGAAATGCGTGAGCAGCCAGACAGAACCACACCAGAGCGCATGACGCAAGAGCGGACCATACAAGACTAGACAAAGCAGGACCAGACCACACCAGCCAGGGCTAAAACATGCCAGATCGAATCAGAACAGGGCGCGACGCTGGTCGCTGGATAGGATGGCGGGGACTCGCGAAACGTGCAATTACAAAAACGAGGAGAGGAAACACGGAATGAAGTGCAGTAGGAAGTGAGCGGAGGCGGCCCTGCAGCCATCGCCCTATCATAAGGACCGCGGAACCAGGAACGGAGGGGCTTTTCTGGTCACGGCAATGCTCGGCCATGAAGAAACTCCCCGACCTGGATCCGAGGACCGGCCCGAAAACGGAAGCACCTCCTGAGCCCAACGTGGTCCTTGTTTCGGCGTCTTGGCTGTATCGAATCGGCTCGATCGGATTGCCGTGAGCATCTTGTAACCGATACGTATCCCCACAGGCGTGGACTGGGCCCCATTGGCCGTTTGACCCCTCCAGATGGGAATACGGGCTGTTCCCTTCGGGCTTCGCGGGGCCTATCCCCAACTGGGGTCATGGGATGGTAGGGCTGAGGCACCATGGCCCGGTGGGGATGCAGAAGCCTCTCAAATGGGGTCCGAGCAGATGGGGTCCGAGGATCGCGCCGCATCGCCGATGCATCGCCGATTCATCGGTAATGCACCGTCGACCTCGGCAGTGCATCGGCGATGTCGGCGTGGAGAAAATCGGGCTCCACACCTCGCCGCATTGGCGATGCATCGGCGATGCGGCGCGATCCTCCGCGCCATCTAATTACTGGGATGAGCCTTGTTTAACCGATCCCTATCTCGACTGGCGTGGATTTGGTCCCACAGGCCAGTTTACCCACAGGCCTTCTGGTTTCGAGGGGCATATCCCCAATTGGAATGGTGGGCTGGTGGGGATTGGGATCGGTTACATGATATTCATCGGACCCCACTCTGGAGGCCCAGAGAACGGTTCAAATAAAAGCAACAACTGTATAAATCTTCGACAGTCCGCGGGGATTGCTGGGATCTGCACTACGCCCTCCCTCTTTGGCGCACGGAGCGCGCCAAGGGCGGCGCCAGAAGCGCCGCTGGGGGACCCAGCGCCAATCCGAGAAATCCGCGCGGAGCCCCTGAAGTTTATGTCAATGTTGTTTTCCCCTCGAGCTTAGAAAAGATTCAACGATACCGACGACAGGGACCCTGCGGCAGCCCGCCGCATGCTCCCTCTCTTTGAGGCTCTGAGGCCGTCAAGAGTTCGGGGCTACATTTGGGGTGGGAAAGGCTCAGGAAATATTGCATCGACCCTAATCGCTCTCTCATCGCCTATAATGGGAAAATAAAGGAGTCTTGATATTGTTGTTGTTGTTTGAATGTTTTGGGGGCCCTTCGTGATCAGGATTTCGGACCGAATCCAGCGGTGGCGACGAGGGCCTCCCAGGAGGCCCAAATAATGGAAAACGAGGGAAAGGTAGCGGTATTGGTACCTGCTCCTCTGGGATAAGGGAGAGGTACTGACTACCAGCGCCGAGTCACGAGCCCAAGGAAGAGTTCTCGCCCAGCCTGCTGACGAAAGAGGCCCCTCGCCAGGGAAGACGGCGGCCTCGTTCGCGGACGGCACGCCTTCCGAACGCCCTCCCCCCCCTTTTGCGGGGGGCGGCTGCCCTTTGTGCTGGGGGGCCTCCGTGGCCGTGGCCCGGTACCAGAAACGCCGTCGCAATAAGCATTAGCATCAACGTCGTCGTTGACGTTGGCATTAGCGTCGTCGTCGTCGTTCATGTCAGCGTCGTCGTCGTCGGAGTCAATGAGAATCGGCAACGACGAAATCAAGGACGCCTACGAGGGCGCAGGCCACGCTCTCCCAGGACACTCAACCTGGAGTCCCGAGGCCACCAACCGAGGGAGTGTCGGCAGCTGGCCCAAGATTTGGCGCTGACACCTCCTCCTGAAGGAAACGCGCTGCACAAGGCTCGGGAAGAGGGCGGAACCAAAATAAAGAAGTCGCGACGAGAAGCGTTTCCTCCAACACCTGGGGGTTTTCACACGTTTCCCAAGAGAGTGCCATGGGCCAGCCGCAGATTCACCAAGTTGCAGCCCGTGGGCACCTCGCGGGCGCCCCCGTGCGCTGGGTGGGTCCGCCGAGGTTTCGCCACGTTGCCGCATGTGGACGCCCGGTTGGCGCCCCGCGCGTTGGATTTGTAACCTGTGGGCGCCTCATGGGCGGCCCGTGCGCTGGGTGGGTCCGCCGAGGTTTCGCCACGCTCCTGCCCGTGGGCGCCTCGTGGGAAGCCCGCGCGTACACCAACTACACTGCTCACACCACACCGATTCTCCGCTCTAACAAGACAATACACTCACCCCCCCCTGGTGTTCTACCCCCCCCCTTGTGGGTATGCAAATCATGTATGATTATGTCCAAATGTCCATCCTAAATATGAACTTACACTAAGCGTGAGGGGCCAGGATCGACCCCCCTGGGGTTTCCTTGTGGAAAACGATACGCGGGGACATCTGTTGCTCTAACATGTCTCGAACCCCTTGCAAACAACGGGACGAAGTGCACACGCGCGCGTCGTCGCGCACGCATGCCAAATACCTTCAAAAACCTTCGGTGTCGGAAGGATTTCGCAATCGAGCTTCCAAAACAAACACACACACAACAAAAAAAACACAGGATTTCGCAACACTGATTTGCTAAAAAAGCTTACGCGCGAGCTCTTGCGAAATCTTAAGAAAACCATCGGTTTTTCAATATTTTCACAACATGCTACCAAACGGGCTTCGCGCGCGCGCATGTCGAAATCTGTGAGAGAGCGTGATCCACCGCCGCTTTACTGTAGAAAATTGCCAACCTTTTCCTCCGGAACCCGGGGGTCGCCTCCCCCCCCTCCGAAAATCCCCCCCCCTGCTGGAACCCCCCCCGTCCCCCGGCAAAACCCCCCCTCCCCTAACCCCTCCCCCCCCCCCCCCTTGAAAACCCGGGGTGGTCACAACCGGTTCGAACCCCCCCCCCTCCGGATCCGGAAAACGGGGGGGGGGTCACTACCAATTCGAACCCCCCCCCCCCCTCGAAAACCGGAGGGGGTCACTACCGGTTCGAACCCCCCCCACCCCCCCACACCGCCAGCAAACGACTCCCGGTCCCTACCACCGTCCGCATCACATCCTCCACTGTTGTTCCCAGCGCCACTGTCCTCACCACCACTGTTCCCGCTGGTTCCACCACCGTCCTACTGTCCCCACCAGTGCCCCCACCACTGTCGCACTGTCCCCACTGTCCCCACCACTGTTCCCACCACGGTTCCATTCTCCCCACTGTCTCCACGGCCCAACCACTGCCCGACTATCCCCACTGTCCCCACTGTCCCACTGACTCCTCCGCTGTCCCATTGAGCTGTCCCACTGTTCCCACCACTGTCCCCACTGTCCCCACCACTGTCCCCACTGTACCTCTATCCCATTGTCCCACCGCCGTCCTCGCCACCGCCTTCACCACTGTCCCCACCACCATTGTACCCTCCACTGTCCCACTGTTTCCACCTCATTCCCAGTCCCCACACCACTGTCCCCACCACCACCGTCCCCACCACTGTCCACTGTCCCCCCTGTTCTCACCATTGTCCCCACCACTGTCACGCACCACTACCGTCCCCACCACTGTCCCACTGTCCCACTGTCCCCAC